TAGTTTTAGTCTCAATGTGGGGGAATCGGCGATACGACTTCAGAGAACTCATCGTGTCTCGTTTATCATACATTTGCACTTGAGAGCCTGCCAAGTCTTGGACTATTTCCATATCTAAAAAGTGCGCACTATGTCCTACTTGTTTTTGGGTCAACTCAATACTGTTAGAGATGAGATTGCCGTCTTCATCACTAATCAGTCGCTCATACATTCCTCCTAACGTTTCACTCATGCCTATGCCAAGTGGATTGTACGGAGTATCACCACTATATATGACATCCATAAGTCTCAAACCATTGACTTGTGACGCCAAAGTGATAGTGATGATGTCATCAATATATCTCTTAGTCCTTACGCCATATTGTTCAATGAACACTCGAGGGTACGTATAATGGGTACGACCACTATGTTGTGTTTCTCGGAACTCTGCAACCATCTCTTTATAAAACCTTAGTTCATGCATGTAAGCAAATATATTGGCAACATCGGGTGCAGGTGAGGATCCCATAAATATGCCAGAAGACTGGCGATACATGTGAGGTCCAAACTGAAGATCAACTTCCGTCAAAATAAATTCACACCACTTGAAGAGTCGTTCTTTCCCAACAAGAAATGTCTTCTCCTTCGCGACTTCCAAATTAGCTGCACCCGGTTCCTCCGTTGACCAATGTATTTCTTCTTTGATGATGAAAGGACAACTACTACTCTTGAAGCTATATTGTACATTAAACAACATATTCGCCTGATTGAGAGCGTAGCATCTGATTGAGAGCGAGATTGCGCGATACGCTGTAGCCGGACTACCACTGAGAGGTGGAGCTTGCTGTGTAGCTTGAATTGAAGGGCTAGCCCGTAGCTTCAAGCCGCTACCCTGGTCATCCTGTGGGAGTCTCTCGTTGTGGAGCTACAGCGGGGAGCAGAAGCTACAGCAGAGCCCACCGCCCGACGCGATACCGCCCTGAAACAGTTTGAGCAGAAATAGCCAATCTGGGCAAATCTAGCAACTTGTCTAGCTCCTCGCTGCAGCATCCGATGACGATGACACGCATATGCTCGCGAAGCTGCTGATGAGACCTTCAATTTGCACCGCTTCTTGGAATAGCCCGTCCCCTACTTGCCAAGAAATGGCAAGAGGCGTCTGGACCCGAAATTTCAATTTTTTTGGCTCTCGCTCTCAATCAGATACTTCGCTCTCAATCAGGCGAATATGTTGTTATTATTAATTGAACGATATCCAGAATCACGAAATTGGAAGTCAAACACCAAATCAATAAATTCTTTCAATTGAACTAAAAGAGTAGACAGAGGTATGCTAGTATACACGGCAACAAAGTCAAATGTTTCCACAACATGTGGGGCAGAATCACCAGTCGAACGTGCCATCTGGTCTGCCTCAGATAAAATCTCCAGGATTTCTTCGCCACCTTTAGTAATCCAACTACTGGGGGAATCAATTCCAGTGGAANTGAACGATATCCAGAATCACGAAATTGGAAGTCAAACACCAAATCAATAAATTCTTTCAATTGAACTAAAAGAGTAGACAGAGGTATGCTAGTATACACGGCAACAAAGTCAAATGTTTCCACAACATGTGGGGCAGAATCACCAGTCGAACGTGCCATCTGGTCTGCCTCAGATAAAATCTCCAGGATTTCTTCGCCACCTTTAGTAATCCAACTACTGGGGGAATCAATTCCAGTGGAACTTCCAACTTCTCTCCACAATGCATCACAAACTGGCAGCATTTCAGCTAGACACGTATGCACTATTCTTTCCGCCCCTTCCGTAGTAGTAGTAGTAGCGCAGCATGTGGTTATACTTCGACAAGCTACCTTATCCTTATGGAGTTTAGGCAGCAGATACCTAGTGGGTTGTTTATGGGTTTTCCTAGACTTGCGCCTATTCGTGTCCGGATTTCGAAAAAATTCTTTGGGGGCCGGTAGATGTTCATCATCCAGAAATTTAACTTGCCGATCGGTGATGGCTTCTTTAATTTCTTCAAATGTGCCTCCAGTCATCTTGTCATAACCCTCCCCATTCGCTTCCGTTTCAGCTAGTCTAATATAGCAAGCCTTACACATTACACAAATACAATTTGCAGCCTTGTCTAATCTAGTGAAAATTACTTTTTTCTGAAGCACCTTGAATGCTGTATGAGCGTCTCTGAAATCGATATGGCCAGTNTCATAACCCTCCCCATTCACTTCCGTTTCAGCTAGTCTAATATAGCAAGCCTTACACATTACACAAATACAATTTGCAGCCTTGTCTAATCTAGTGAAAATTACTTTTTTCTGAAGCACCTTGAATGCTGTATGAGCGTCTCTGAAATCGATATGGCCAGTATGTGGGAGGTAGTCTGGACCTTCTACAGTAGAATTCAGTTGTTCAGCAACTTCATCCAACACTGCAGAAACCCATTCCTGGACCACGTGAAATTGGGTCCCAGCGTCTTCGCATACGTTAGACACGAGCTCCGTAAGTGCATGTTGAATATTGTCAAAAAGTGACATACCAACTTCCTCCCCGTCATCCTCGTCATCCTTATCACCAGTGAAGAGTTGCGGGGCATACTCAAATCGAAAACCAGACTGCAAGTTCAAAACTGCAGCGGCATTTGCATTTTGCAGGCAGGTCATATCCGTACTGATCACCACCCGAGAACCATCCTTCATTTCAACTGCATATTTCTTCCAATGGGTGTCATTACAAATACAAGAGCTTGTACGTTCAGTCTCTCTCCCTACTCTAGTTGCATTGAGAAAAAGTGTATCCGTAGTCTCTCCGTACTTGAATCCCGGTATGATCTGGGAAACAAGGTGACGAAAGGCACGAGCTTCCGGTGGAATTAGGCTCAGGATATTATCTCTCATGAGGATCTGCCTTAGCTGAACAACCTCTGCAGNAGCTTGTACGTTCAGTCTCTCTCCCTACTCTAGTTGCATTGAGAAAAAGTGTATCCGTAGTCTCTCCGTACTTGAATCCCGGTATGATCTGGGAAACAAGGTGACGAAAGGCACGAGCTTCCGGTGGAATTAGGCTCAGGATATTATCTCTCATGAGGATCTGCCTTAGCTGGACAACCTCTGCAAGAGCACTCGTAAAACCAACGATAAGCAACCGAGGTTTCTTTTTCATTGGTTTTGCAGGGCTTGGGAATGATTCCAAATAACGCTCTCTAAGACGTTTAAATGCGGTGGAACCGAAATGTCGGCTTGGTTGTTGGCCTATATATCTCAGAATACTCACTACTGTGTTAAGTTTAAGCTTACGAATGTAGTTCTCTACAAGATAACCACGATTCCAAACCGATTCAGGCAAGTAATTGAACCTTCGTTTCCAGTCCCGGGATAGGTACCTGCGAGACGACTTAAAAACTTTTCGCGAGTTTATCCTTACTTCGTGCCTAGAGCGTCTAATGGGTCTAGTACCAAAGCCATGCGAAGGTAACGACAGTCTGGGAGGTGCGGACAACTCAACTCTTCTATTATTACCAGAAACTACTGTGCCCAGACGATGAATCCACGAGTTTTCTCTTCTCTGTACATGTCTAAACTGAGGAACTCCTACCAAATGTCCTCCTGGTCGCCGTGTGGGCATTGTTTCAAGGACCACTACTACAATAGGATCTCCAGAATCAACGTGTTCATGAAAGCGCTTATAGGGGGACCGGTTGGTACGTCCTACGTACGTTTTGCCAGAGTGCAAGTTGACAATCGCATAAATATAGCTTACGTGCGTTGTTGGTGTCGGATAAGTTCCTTGAGGAGCCGTATTGTACGGGGCGAATGGTCTACCCTCCTCTTGTCTACTCCAAGTTCCAGGAGGAGTACCATTTTTGCCATCCTTTCCTTCTTTCCCTTTGGCAAGCAAATTGTCCCGGTATCTCCAAATCCGTCTCAACTTTTGGTGATCGTTCATGCAGGCTAATGCTGAGCGTTCATGCAAGGAGCGCATAAACCATGTAGGAGAGTGAAAAGCATATCCAGGCTTACATACGACAGAGCACAAAGGAAGCACACCGGTACTTGCGAGTGCTCCTTTCCGGCCAATACGGTCCAAAAAGGTAGGTCCAATGGTCAATGGTTCCACCACAAGCGGCGGGATATGTATCGGTTCCGAAAATTTGGAACCAAGTATCGACAGCAACCGCGTACGCTTTACCTTCAACGTGCGCCGCAAGAGGAGGCAAAGAGAGCGAACTGCGAACTGCTGTAGTTGGCACGCCGTGGCGGTCGTTGCCCAGGCTATGCCATAGATCGGGAAAGTGGTTGACGTTCCGGCATATTCTGTGGTGAGTTCCCTTGCGAGTCCCCACGGTGATTTGCTAGCACCGGAACCTACGCGTGCAGTCAGTTGGCGTGCTTGATGCCCTCACCTAGCGCTGGCTGTGGTTGCTGAGCACCGAACGGCCGGAGTTCAGGGTTAACGCACACCCATCAAGCATCCATGCTCCTGTCTGTTGATATTGCCGTCTTGGGGAACGTAGTGTAGTTCCTGGTTATGCATTTACTTCTACAAAAGAAGCCCAGAATGTCCCTACACCCTGGCGTGTTCCGCGTATGACGTGGAATAACAGCTCCCCCAGTTATTCTGAAAATCAAGTCTTGAAAGTCAACCAATGGAGGTACGTAGTGAGGGCAGCTGAATTTTGTAATCAACTCCGCGTGGTACTTTCGATGTGCCTATTCGGGAGGGCGTGTGGGTATGGACATATTCCCCGCACACAGACGAGGGCAAGGCGGCGGGCGCACTATGCTATCATCCCGAGTCGTAAGTGCACGTGCACCATTTCGTTTGTCTTGTCTTTCAAGTGCACCAACCCTCTGGCTGTGCGCTTGTTAGAAGCGACGCAAATAGTCTTTCCCGTTCATCCGGTGCTGTTTCTGCTGCTGTCGCCGTTTCTGGTGTGGTGCCGGCGTTGGTGTTCTTGCTACGCTCATGTAACAGCATGTAACAATACGGCTGTCATTGCCTCCCGCATTATCGAGCGCAGCGCGGGAGTGGCGCCTACGAAGGTACGGGTGCCAAAGAACAGCAGGACTTCAAAGTCTTGTCAACACAACATGGCATGGAACGAAACGTTGCAATACCCAGAAACGGTTGTACCCGCCCCGTTGCACGCACCTTCTTACTCTAGCCATTAAGGGCGTGCAGAAAAGGGGTTGTGACGCTGGCTCTTTTTCCTATGCTTTAGTCCTATACAAAGAAAGAAATAACCTTCCCGCCAGGGTCAGGTGTCGCATTCTATTGTCATCGGTACAGGACACCATGAAGAGGTGTCGTGAGTGCTGGCACGCTCAGGTTTGCTGCTGGAGCTGAACTATCGAAGGTCGCAGCAGCCTCTAGAAACAGTCCAAAATCTGCGCCGGAACCAAGCAGCATCCAACATTTGTCACTGCCGTGCTCGCCGCCGCTGACCCCAATCTCCTGAACTGCGGGTTTCAACAGTAGCTGATGCCGCTAGCTACTGTTGACAACCTCCGTTCAGGGGTTTACGGTCCGTGGCGGTGAGCACGGCAGTGACAAATGTTGGATGCCGCTTGGTTCCGGCGCAGATTTCGGGCTGTTTTCAGAGGCTGCTGCGACCTTTGATATTTCAGCTCCAGTAGCAAACCTGAACATGCCAGCACGCACGACTCCTCTTCATTATGTCCTTTACTGATGACAATTAAATGCGACACCTAACACTCGAAACTGACCGTGTTGGAGCGCCTTCTGTTTTGGCTCTTTTGACTAGAATTTTGAATGGTGTGAATATTATCTTGACTTCAAACGAGGCGTTTGGAGGTAGACGCGCGAAAGTATGGTTTGAGCAGGCTCTGCTGCCGCCCTGTGCGAGAATCAACGATTTCTGTTTCTCGCGGTGCCTTCCTACTGGTCTGGTGTGTCTGTTGTGCAATTTCTGGTGCTCTTGCGTTTGTATTCAAAATTGGTCAACATCAAAGATCGTCTTCTGCAACCCCTTAACACCTCCTTGAGAAGAACGCGCTATTTTTCCTTCGCCACCCGTCGGGCAGGTGCAGTTAGTGAGCCGGTCCGCCAAGCGCGCCGCTACTGGTTGAACCCGCCCCGGGGTGTCGCGGATTACGGTGCTACTGGTTCGGCTGGCTGGTCGTAGCTACTGTTGTGTGTCTCGGGGAGGAAGGAGAGCAAGCTCCTTGTCCTTGGGCGGGGAGAGCTGCATCAAATGGACGAATGGTCGACGCTAGAGGTGCGTAGTCTGCTCGTCACGTCCGTCTCCCGAATGGAAAAAAGCTCGTCGAACAGCAACCATCAACGCTACTGTAGCATCGCCTCACGGCGTTGTCAGCCTTTTTTTATTGCCCATCGGAATTGTCCCGGTCTAAGCAGCGATGCTGTTGCACGCTGCCCCATGGCAACATGTATTTCGAAGGTATCTAATATTGTTTCATCCCATGCCTTCATGTTTCTCAAGTGCACGCGTACACACCCAGAGACAACCCGCCCCCAACTCTGTAAGTCTGCGAAGCGTCATTCCCTCTTACAGCTCTCCCTTATCGGCACTGTATTACTACAGGGCCTTGGGCTCGCGACGGCGCAACTTACGTCTCTGGCGAGGCGGGGGAGTTTCTCTAGGGATGATGGCGTGTCGATTGAGTTCTGCAACTTCTGCCAGGTGACGTGTCTCCACCGCTACTGTACTTAATTTCGCGCTGTCACTGAGTGCTGCTTGTAGCCTCACCGAATCAGTTCCTCGCAAGCTGGGAGCTACACCGAAAACGCTCATATCAGGCGTGTCCCAACGCCATGACACCGGCATGCTGAAGGGATGGCTCGCGCCGACTTTGTGCCGGTTGGGAACGTCGGAACATGATATCGCCACCCGACTGAAGACTCAATGTTGGGAAGGCTCGTGAAGAGGCTCGTGAAGAGGATTTGATTCCCCTGCAAAGGACAGTTTGACACTCGATCAGCTGCAGTGGGCAGGACCGTGGGGGTAGGCGATTGTCGCACATTTTGGTGTTTGGTGAGGGTGTGTGGTCCCAGGACTACGGGTTGTCCGCGGCAGGGCTTGCCTCGCACAGATAAACGGGTGCGACCTCCGGGGGACATGGACGGGTGCAAGACGGTTTTGCTGTACCTCTGGCGGCTTGGCTTGAGGCATACTACTTGATATTCATATCTGTGTTTGGTTTGTTCACTCAGCGCCGCATTGTGTTGGAATAAAGCGAGCACAGCTGAACCCAATAACGCCGACAAGAGAGAATAATGACAATGATCATGTCTGAATCACTGATGAGAGTGGCCAAGGCCGACAGCGGGTGACGGCCGCGCGCGTTTTTCCGGCGCGTTTCGTTGTTCGACCCTGCCGTTGCATTGTTTAAAGAGCAACCAGAGTCAAGCCGCCTTGCTCCCCTCTCCTCGGCGCGTGGTCATCTGTCAGTGCTACGGCTACTGCTATTCCTTCAATGCTGTTGGTTTTCGTACCTCCTTGAAAGATTGTTCGGTACTGTCCGTGGCGAGCTCGGGCCATATCCAATCACACGTTGTGAAACTCCCATGTGTTGTCGACGCGCTGTTGTTCGCCTACGTCTGCCGGCGATCCTCAGGAAAACGCGAAGCACCACGTGCTGCTGCTCACCGGCTGGGACGAGTCCTTCCTCAAGGTATTTGTCGTTGATTTGTTCTGCACGGAGTTACCTAGTCAGTGCAGCGTGAGTGTTTGTATTGAGTGGCTCGCCGGGGCTCAACCATCGGTAAAGTCAATGGTTACGCAATATCTGGTGGCATTCCGTACTCCCTGCTTTGTCTCGCAGCATCAGCCATAAGGGGCGGCGCTTCTTGGCAGTTATTCCTGCCGTACGCATCGCAGCATTTCCCTGCAATGTAGCGTGGGTATGATTTCGCCAGGGTTCGGTGAACACAACGATGTACACAGGGGACCGTTTCGGTAAGCTCCGTCCACCTCTCGCCGTGTCTCTGTCATTATTCGTCGGCCCCTTGATTGCGCGGACACAGCCGAGCTCGAGGCGTTTCATTTTTTGTTTCTGTTGTTTTCCTTTCCTGCTCGCGTACGTTTTTTGTTGAGATCCTCGAGGAAGCACTTCACTATCCTGTGCTTGGTTTGCCACGTACGTCGCCAATGCAGGAGTGTGGAATGATGCCGTGCTCGCTGTGTCTTCCATCCCGTAATACCATTCCGTCCCGTTTTGAGTGGTTCGCTTCTCGTTACGTCTCTCCCTCCTCGCGGTGCTGCTGCCATGTATGGATGACGGGAAAATGATGGGCTCTTCGCGGGCACCCACAACAAAACTACTTTCGGGTGGTGGGCATTGTTGTGTGACGCAGTACGGCGACGTGATATCGGAGCTGCTGCAGGCCGGCATCAACGTTTACGCCATGGACTGGCGCTCCCAGGGGCTCTCTGGCCGGCACTTGCTCGACCCCCAGGTGTGACTCCCAAGATTTTCGCTTATTTCTGCAGTACTTTCGTGTTCCGTCCTTAGGTGGGTCGGAAAGAAAGGCCTCTCGCTCATGTAGCTACTTTGGCCATCCTACGTTATTGTGCTTGTCTTAGAGGGAAAGACTGGAAGCAAAAGTCTGTAGCTCGGGGTGCTTCCCTAGTCATTACGTTATTTTGTTGTCCGACTGGAAACAATTGTCCCTAGCTTGGGGAGCATCTTCAGCTATCCTAGTTTTCATTGAACTTTAGTCAGTGGACCTCTCATAGCGGTGCGTTGTTTTTCTTGGCAGTTGGCGCGGGTCTCTCGCTTCTCGCTGTGTCGGACAACACAGCGCAACACAGTTCCAAAGCGAAAACGATGGTAGGACACGTTTACCGCCGTCCTGATGGACCTAATTGGGGTGCCGTTATGAAAGTACGTCCACGGATACAATGTATTTTCTGCCGTTTTAGGGGGACTTCTAAGCACTTGTTCGCTAACGCAAAAGAACAAAGGTGTGATGGCAACATTGTGCGGGAAGTCTTCACCCACCTACTGTTTGCGCGTACGCTGTTTGTAAGCACGGTTTTCCATCAGAGGTTCCAAGCCTCCAATAGAGAAGATGTTCCTGCCGCGTCCTTTTGGCAATTTGTGAGGGCTTTGCATGGAGAGCGTTGTCGAGCCAAAACACATAAAGCAGCACGTGTATCGATGGGTTTATCGGCGGGTGAGAAGTAGCGCAAGGTTCTCATCTTCCACGTGCTGCCGCTATTGTCCGGCACAGGTGACGTACGTGGAAAGCTTCGATGACCACCTGGACGACCTGAGCTTCTTCGTGAACCAGGTGAATTGATATGTTCCGAAGTTTGCCGTTTTAGTTACGCCTTTCGGTGCAGACGTTTTGGGAACCAGTGGTCAGGGTAGACGGATCGAACGATAAGTGGCATGATGGGAGAAGAAGGACGGGCAGGCTGCGAGAGATAGACGCGTGGACAGAACGAGATTATGCAAGGAAGCGGGAAAGAGAGAAGGTTCTTGAACCGCCATGATAGTATTTCGGCGTGCGCTAGGTCTGTTTGCGGTGTGAACATGATGAATAGAGTCGATCTCTTCCCCGGAATCGTAGCAGCTTCGCTGTGTTTCCTTCCTCTCTCCTTTCTGACACGAAAACGGATTTTCGCTGTTTGTCGCACGACCCTGGGCAGGTGGTAGTCGAGTCATGCGGCGTGAGGACCTCCCAGCTGACCTGTCTCGCGCACTCTATGGGGGGCTTGCTTTCGCTCATGGCAGCGGCGGGTGACCGGGGCTTGTTCCAGAGGCTAGTAGTGTGCTCGCCGATGATCATGATGAAGGTACGTGATTGTAGTAACTTGTGATAGATGCAACGCTGATAGTGTCCTCGCCAATGATCACGGTCGTGGATCGCGGCTGAAGTATATGGCAGCAGATGTGAGGTTGGTGGGATCTTCGCTGATGGCCATGATAAAGGTTCGTGATTGCAATCCGTAGTACCAGGTGCGACACTGGTAGGGTGGTCGCCGATGGCCATGATCAAGGTTCATGATTGTAATGAGTAGCAGATGGAACGCTGGTAGTTTGCTCGTTCGTTGTCATGATGAAGGTTCGTGATCATAAGAAGCGAGCGATGATCGCTGGTAGTGTACTCGCCGATGATGAAGATGAAGGATAGTGAATTGTAGGAAACGTGACGTTTTTTCCTTTCTGTCAGACCCTTCCGTACCCCGAGGAGCAGTGCCGATTCCTCTGACTTGTGCCGGCGTATTGGTCTAAAACATTAAACAGAAACAGTAACAATGTCGAAAACAGAATCCGCGCATGTAGCACGAAGCAATGCTGGCCGGCGTTTGGCTCCTCGTTGCATTTGGTTGCTGTCTACGCTACGCCCACCACAACCAGCGCAACAACAACACACCAAACGCTGATAGACCCTCGATAATTTGCACGATTCCGTGCTGCTCTCTCCTCCTCTAGTGCGGCATGCCGCACTTCGTGGCCCTGTGGCTCGGGCGCCTGTTCTGCAGACTCGGTATGGGCTCGAGCTACGCGCCTGTACAGAGCGGGGTCGACGTGTCTAGGTATGGCCACAGAGGCGGGACGGGGTGATTTTTTGCGATGAACATGGCATTCAGATTGAACATGAGCAGGCACGACACCACATTTTTTTTTTTCGAGCGTGCACGTGAGGTTCAAGGCCGTATCTCGCAAACAGGTCGAAGTAGCCGTTGTGGTTGTCATGTCTTACTGTCCGTGTTGCCGTTTGTTGCCTTTGCTATTGCCTTTGCTTTTGCTACTTGTTGCTGTTGCTGTTGTTCGAATTCGGCAATACTATATAGACCAAGCTGTGGTTTGCTGCCTGTGTTGCTCCACGGTTGCGACTGCTCGCCCTCGTACACGACCAAAGCAGGCCGATCACGATGAAACTGACGACGGACAAGGCGAGGCTCGCAACGTGGGAGAGAATCCGAAGAGCCTACCCCATCGTGAGGCCCCTGTCGATTCTATTTGAACGAAATGTCTCTTGTTTGTCCGTCTGCTGTTTTCTTGGGGATTGTCGCAAGAGACAAGCCAGCGGGGATCCCAGCTTCGGCAACCCGGTATTTTTTTTTCTTGCGAGTTTTAGAACGTGTGAAGCTTTTGCAATTTGTGCCGCAGGTGGCCATGGGGGGCATGAGCAACCTCTGGGTCGTGGAGGCCATCAAGGCGCAGAACTGGTTCAGAGCAAGGGCCAAGCAGGTAATCTAAAAAAGGGGAGGACGTTGTGTTCGTGCTTATCCCTTCTTACCGGATTGTTGTCGATCGCAATCCACGGTGCCCCTGCGAGGAACTCCCACGGCGTTCAGGTTGCCGCTTCGGTTCCGTGGTGTTCATGCAGCATGGCTGCATGCTTTATTGTAGTCTGGAACCGCGTGTAGTGCCAGATATTGGCGAAATTCTCCTTCGTGTGGTTGCCGGAACGCGTGTACGGTACAACATGAGTAGAGACCTGTGCCAGTGGTGGCCTTCCATAGCGGTGACATATGCTTTTTTTCTGTTTCCTGCAGGTCTCGGTCCCCGTTCTGCTGCTGGAGGCGGGCGTGGACGTCTTCGTGTGCACGTCGAGACCTTTCAGGTGACCTGTCTTGCTTGTTTTTCGGAAAAGAACCCTCATCTCTTCCCCAAAGCATCCCGCCATGAGCTTGACAACGCGAAGCTCGACACATCTACTCTACCTTTGCCGTCCGCCAAGATGATGGTTCTGTGTGTATGTTACGCTCAAACAGCTGCGGCGGTCGTAGTCGGGAGACAAACACTTGCTTTCGTATTCTTTGATGGTGGAAAGCGATTCGACCGACTGTCAGACACCGAATGCACCGAACAGTAGCTCGTCAGACGTCGAAATTTCCTCGCACATTTGCGTAAAGTGTACAAATCGCACGTGGCGGCTTGGGCTTGCGCAGAAGTCCCGCCTGTGCCAAATCTAGGTGGTGCGAGCGACAAAAAGCACCCGGAAGAACCACCGTTGCAGTACATGTATGCACGCCCGTCAGGTGAGGAAAGTTTAGGTAGGACGCGGCCGGAACGTGCGTACGGACGGTGCGTATGGGCTTCGCACCGGACGCGTCGTCCTAGCGACGCGGGATCCTAGATCGTTATGACGGAGACAAACAATATTGAGTATACTTCCCTGCTTGGCGCGGATCGGTCGTTGTGTTTCCGCGGGACAGGGAGCTCTGCCGCGCGGTGCCAAGCTGCCGCCGCCTGTGCTACCCCACGACGTACCACGAGATTCTTTTCGAGAAGGAGTGGGCACGCTCTCACGCCATGAAGGTACTGGTACCTGTGCCGCTAGTCTTGCCGTTTCTCGTTTCGTGCTCTTGGCTAGCAGAGGTCTGCATTGAATGTTCACTGTTGCATGGGTACAAACGCCGACGATGCCAGCATTGGCGTAAGAGGCGCCCTCACACCACTCTCCCCGGGCTGCCGTTCGTTGTGGTGTCTCAGGCGACCATTACCTTCCTCAAGTCGGGCGAATACCCGGCGCCCGGCGAGACGACGGTCATCACCCCGCCGCGTCTTTCGGAGGAAGCACGGCAGAAGAAGATGAAACTGTTGCTGGTCCGCTTCTGTTACGTAGTGATGGGGGCCGGTCTCGGCGTCGCGGGCGTTGCCTTCTTCAAACGCAGGGGCTCCGTACTTGCGGTTCGGAAGTAGCTCTTGGGAAAAAACTTGTCAATTTTTGGGAGTGGGAACCACGAAGCGTCAGAGTGTCATGGTTCCAGTAGGAAGGTTGGTCGTGTTTCACGCGGGTAGTTCTTCGCGCGGCAGTGTTGTCGTCAGCCAGTCGTGAACGATCTCGGCCCCCCTCTGAGGGTGCCGTGGTGGCGATACACAGTGGTATCCGTCGTGTTCCCGTAGTGTTCTGTTCGGCTCTCCCCCTTGCACTCGGTTGAGACACAACCGAGACACTGGGATAGATCCGCTTGATGAGATGCTATCACGATAGAGAGGGGGGGGTTACATCCGTCAGATGGGGCAAATCTGTGCCTGCTTCATTTCGCGGTTGAAACGTCGTTTGTGACTCGGGAACCGTTTCGGCGCGATAGGTTGCAGGCGCTCGCGCGAATATTGGTGTGGTGTGGTTCCAAGCGAACGTTCCGCTGCATACAACACACCCACCGCCTATCGTGTTTTTTATTCCTCCGGATACCTTTCGTGGAAGTCTTGTCTGCACGCTGCTTTTCAATTTTTGTGCGAGGGTAGTGCTTTCCCCGCTCCAACATCATTATGATAACGACCGCGCTCATGGAATGACCAAGCAAGGCGTGTGAGCGTAGTCGCTGCGATTTTTTGGCGCGGTATGCGGCCAGTCAGGCCGGCCGATCAGGAAGGGGGGACGGCGCCACCCGCCAGACCCTCGTTGTATCGTAGCGCCTGAGACCGATAGACGTCGAAACCCGGTGGTGCTAGGTACTAAACGATGGTAAGGCGTTTCTAGCATTGAATACGCTGCTGCCCCTCTCCCCGCCGTCACTTTCTATGGCGACCCCTCACGGTCGTTTGTTGTGGGTTAGGGTTGTGAACGAGCACCGACAGGGGTGCGTTTGCACAGGAATTATTCTTTCTGATCCCTGTTTATACATTTCCTCAGTAGAGAAGGCAAGGCCGCGGCTGCTTCGTTGGTAGGTTTGCGAGGAGCAGATGTTGGAATGCTTTTTATGGCGCATATTTTCAAGTTGGCGTTTGAAAGAATCGAAGTGTATGTATACAGTCTTTGGACGCAGACAGAGAATGGGGTGGTCATGTTGACCTAATCCAAAGTTACCAAACACTTTTTTCAATGTACGCCAGCAATGATACTCAGTCTCGACAAGCATAGTACATGCCTGCATGTGTGCTTTCCCTTCCCATCGATGTTGGGCGCGAGTCGAATTCCGTACGAAAAATATGTGTCTGGCGCACCAAGCGGGGTTTCACGAAATATTTTTCTACCTTTCCTCCTGTGGTGCTTGCCTTCAATGCCTACCGCGAGGAGGGTACAGCTGTAGTGCCCGTTGTTGTGTGCACTGACGACGCTGTGCTCTTCACCGCAAGACTGCGAACCTGCGCTCCTGTGACATGTAGTCGAACCCGGAACCTAGAGTCACGAAGGTGTCGCCGAAAGGTGTTTCATATCGAACTGGCATATAAGCCAAGAAAATCGCAACGTTCACTGGAAAGCGGTTCAGCCAGAGTGCACACTCTTAGAATCCTCTGAAAAGCGACAAACAAAAACTGATGCGCTTCCGATGGCGTACTCAATAAAGCCACCCCCAACTACACCTTCTAGTTCAACTAAGCAAAGACCGTGTCACTGCATCTGCTCACTGTTTCATTATGCTGAGGTAGAACCCAACGGAAATCGACCAGCTTTCGTTCAGTCGGGCCAGATACGACGGGCCAAGAAACAGGGCGCAGCAGCAGTCGAATGCCGACGGTTTGCAAAGCGTTCAACACGTGCTGAGAGGCGCGGGGTACGTTCAATGGGGAACCAGTTGCGGCCAGGTGGTGGCGAGATTCACTCGTGGCTTCATTTCACTCCTTGACTAGCATTTACAACTCGACAACGCATGGAAGGGCGAAAAGGCCGACGTCTGCCGGGAAGCAAAAGAAAACCACAGTGGGGGGGATGCTAAATTTGCATAGGTATGAGTGACAGCAAATGGCGTTACCCGCATCATAATGCTTCACCCAAAATGGTCTTGGTGACGCTGCCCTGACGGAATCTTTCAATACGATATTCGCCGTGCTTGTGCGCTTTCACATGCTTATCCTGCGGTCAAGGCTCGAGGTCGGTTTCAAACATTTGCCAGAGCACATCAACGCAACCGCGTGCTTAGATTGACGTAGGGGCACCGTATTGACGCAGCCGACATTACCCACCAACACCATCACTCCCAAAGCATACCGTAGCCTCGGTGGTCACTCGACGGAGGCGTTTATGACAGACACGTCCCGCTACGAGGTACGCCACAACCGTCACAACATACCCGAAATGCGTCATTCTGGATGCTCTTTCCCCCACGCCTGCCCTTCGGACGACGCCTCTCGCTGTCGGCCTCTGGCAAACCTCGGGCGCGACGTAGGGTGTCTTTCCTGGTCCGTCGTCGACAGGAAGACTACACCGGGGGCAGGGGTTGGCCGTTGCAAGCGCTCCTGCTGGATTCCACTGTCTGCTGTCTTCTTTGATGGGGCAGGTCCCATTCGTGTTGAGACCGTCGGTGGCAACGCAGCTATTTTTGACGTTCACTTGATGTCCGTTGAACTATTGCTAACGCTTTGTGAGCTATCTCCACCGCTACTCGCGTCGTGTCTTTGGCGGAGAGTGCCGTGAACAAATGATGCTGCAATGTTGTTCACGGCGTGGAGGAGAGTTGTCGGCAGAAGCTTACCGCCCCCGAGGAAGTAGAGAAGGCCGGACACAAAGCCCGCCACCGTCGCAAAGACGGTTTGCTTGTAGACGCGCCTGTTTTCGCAGGTTAACGATGATGCCTGTGAGAATAGTTTCTGGGCTGATCACAAGCGCTGTTCACTAGACCCCGTTGTGCGGTCGAGTCGCGCCCAACGTATTGCATATTTCTACGAAACACGTGCAGGAGACCCTTAATAATTTTCCATCTTACCCCTCTCGCTGACAACATGCATCTTACCATGATACCCGTACACCGTCGAGGAGTACGTGCATCAGCAGGTGAATCCCGTCGAAGGGAGTCATCGACGCAGCGGCTGCCTCAACTATATCTCCGATCGTGATTGCCGCCCCTCCTGTCGTCAAGAGACGTTCGAACACCACACCTCGATAGAACGCCTGCCGGCGGACGAGGATGATTGGCAAAGGTTTGATTCTAACGCGGACACAAGACTCAACGGAGACAATACGAGCGAGACGCTGGTGTAAAGGATCAAAATGCTTCGGTTTGTAGTATGCATGATCTGGGGGAAAAGTTCGTATCATCGGCAAAGGCGTGATTCCTGGTGTTTTTCATCTCGATCTATCAGAAACATGTATGGCTCGCCCCCATCCAGTGCAGGCCCCACCAGATCACCGTCCAACAACGATGTGATGTGGACACATGAACGTCGATCTCAATCAATCCGTCAACTTCTCGCTAAACTTGCGCACCTTTCAGGCACTCTCTTTATCTACGCATACTGTCAATGGGCCGTAACCACACGACGTACATAGCACCATCTACAGATATGTCACCTCTTCGAGCACGGGGTCCCTGACCATCGAGTTGACTGCAGCGTGGAAACCTATTTGTTCCAGCGTATCGTCCGCACACCACTAGGTGGTTGGGTGTCCCAGAGGCATATTGAGAGAAGGAGAGCCGGGCGGTGGGAGGTCGAAGCGGTCATCGCAAGGAACAGACTCGATTTCAATGCGGTCAATGGTCTTGGCGGTTTCGTGTGGGGCATATCGTTCATCAACATCGTGATCGGACGCATGGCAGTGCGACAGAGAACTGCGAGGTTCGCATGCGGTAGGCTACGGAGACGATGGTATTCATAGTAAAGGAGTACACGAAGCGTGGTCCGGAGGGCGCAGTCATCCCTCCGGGTAGCCATCCTCCAACCTCTTCGGAAAGAATGGTGCCCGGGGCATGTCCTTCCCCCCTGAACGGGAAAAGGCGACTACCCCTTCCGTCACGATATAAAGTCAAGCTTGAGTCGTCCACCCGCCAGAGAGATCGGGAATGAAATGTCTGCGAATTGTTTCACTCGTGGCGGGAGTGTTTTCCTTCTGCCGGGGTCACTCGAACTTCTCCCATCTAAAGGTATTGGCGCACCTCACCCCCGAATTCGACCGTCGGAAAGGTAGGATGTAATTGACGACGTGGATAGCGTCCATCGAACTGACAGCGGAACTCGGCGACAGAGCAGCAACGTACTCACCGAACTATTTGACCGAAGGTTGCCAAGGACAGGAAGTTGTGCAATGACACGATGTCGAGCGTGATCCCCACGACGACGCCAGAGACTCAACACAACGCGAGAGCCAGTGCCACTCTTCTGGTGACGAGTTGGCTTGCCGATCTACGCAGGCGTAACGGATGATCGCCACTGTCGATGCTGTCGATGTTTAGAAGAGCGTGGTTGGCGTTTCACAGTAATCGACTTCTGATTTGGTGCTGAAAACGAAAATATTTGGCATATTCACGCTAGGAGCACTTCTAACGCGATATTTGCCGTTTATGGCAGCATGCAATGGCGTTCATGAGTCTACGTGGATCTGCACTTGGCTAATACTGCGCAATCTGTGGTGAACAATCGCGAAATGATGCTTGAAGGAGGAATCACACGACAGTGTCAATTGTAAAACTACTATATCACAATATTCTCCTGCAGTGCACTTGCGCACTTGGAGACCTTTGCTGCGGTACTTCAACACGCCCCCTTGATGGGTGCACTCACGTGTACTTTGTTCTCCCCGCTATTCCACGAATCTTATCGCTAATGTCCATACTCCGTGATATTGACTGGTACACGTGCTCTACCCTTCAAATGGTTTCCTTCAACATCCTGCTCCTCATCCTTGTTAACGACTGTGCGGTAGTCTAGTACCTATGTGAGTATTTGCACGTCAGCCATGTTCATCGTTCTCAAGAGATGGTCCCTATGACCTGCTCACTGCGGCCGTCTGCATGAGGTCGTGACTGTCGTTGTCAAGGATGCGCATTCCGCGGCTGATCAGCTGCAACGTTTCGACTCAACCAACCACCCGTTTGTCCTCGACCACCATTTCTCACCAGCCATGGTACCACGCGCGAGTGGTCGTCCCTATGGAGAACTGCCGCTCCAAGACCCACAGCGCAAAAACCGTGGTCGTCCTGAACTCGAGCAGGATCGCGCCGGCTTCCAACGGATGACGGTGGACCTCCTGCAATACACACCTCCTCCTCCTCGGCCTGCTCCCCGGCCGGGGCCGAAATCGACCTAGTGAGTCCCTCGCGGGCGAACCAGGACACAACAGATAGTAGGCGGGTGGTGTCCCAAGGTGCAACTCACCGCCGCGCTGGCTCAGCGTGGCGGTGAGGATGCACAGACGGTGGTAGTGGCGAGAGGTGTGTATGGACACTGTTCCCGCGGCAGTAATGCAAAGCGGCAAACTGCACCTGGCAACCACCGTCGCGGAAAGCGTGGCCCACGAAGCTGGAGGAGTAGAGAGATTCGTAAACACCACGTCAGTAAGCACCGCTCGCGGGAGAAGGGAGACGACCGCGGGCACCGCGGGGAGGGAGTGCTGCACCCTCCTCGTCAAAACACCACAGGCAAGAACCGAGCTCTGCAGAGATGGATTGATGCGAGGAAACTCGCCGCTCGGAAAAGACGGAAGAAAGCACACCCGCAACGCGAGGTGGACCGAGAGAGACACGAGACCGCAGCGGCCGTCAAGGC